ACACATAACCGTTCTTATTGAACAATATGAGCAGAGACGAAGTGGAAAATAACATGGATCATTTCATACGATGTTCTATTGTGATTATTCATTTATGGACCGGCAGCAGTTAAAACTACGTTAAAAAATGGACGAAAAGTTCTCGTATCTGAACTTCTTGAATTATCTACGAATATTTCCGCTGAGTCAATGACGATTACTGAATGCGTGAAAGAAATAATGCAGTGTTATGGCCTGATAGAAACATGTTTGAGGGCCCTAATGAGTCGATTACGTGAACAGGCAATTAAAACGTTACTCACAGGTATTTTGAAAACACTTTAATACTTTAGAAGATATTTGTAAAATTCATAGAAATCTGTCTAATGGTCTGTTTGTTTTAGCCATAGCGACTAATATGTCTGCAAAGATATTTCGAGTGTCGCCAGAGCAATTATACAGTGCTTTTCTTTTATGCCCCCCCCTTTTATTTTTTGAACGGGTCAACTCAAAAAATTGAAATTTGGGATATTGAAATTAATGTATGAGTTATTTTGAAGTGAAATTGAGAGATGAAACTTTCTGGATATTGGGTATGTTTCCCGGAAAATGTGAGGGTTGGTGTCACACCAATAACGGCAATTTTGTCTGTGAACATTGCCGTATAAAAAATGTACATTCGTCACTAAAACAAATATTGTGAAGATAGGTGGGATGCCTTGCAATGATTTCCGTCATGATTTCGCAGAATTTCGTTCTTCGATCAGGGTCATCTTCAGTTAATTCGTGTATCATGTTAAATTTGTATGGATGATACCTATTCCTCTTCAAAAGTCTCCACACAGTAGGAGGAGACACCTCACAAACATTCGCGACGGAATAAGTAGACTGTTATGGATTTACTACCATCTCACCAATTATTTACACTAGCTGTTCTTCTGGAATGGACGGATGACCTGGGGGCTTTTTGTTATGTACACTACCGGTAGCTTGTTACGGTTTTATTTTGTCATTTGTTCTGTTTTGAGGTCAACGACTATTTAAACCTGAAATTAATACGTCCATGAAGGTTTTGGGATATTTTAATACCTCGTCATTCGTTTAGTTCTCATTTACTGATTAACAACTATACAAGGATATATTCGAACGCATTAGTTATATTCGAACATATATTCGAATCCTCTAAGGGTTCTGTGCTCTGTACGGTGAATTGTGTAGTGAGGGTGTTCTGTGACTTTGGTTCCATGAATGTCTTGCTGCCGGGGTTCAAAATTTTTTGTGGTACTTTTGGTAGGCATTTTGCTAATTTTGGAATTTTTGTCCAAACTTCTCGATTTTTCGGATTAACAAAGTAAGATCATCTTCTATAAGAATAGGAAATCGTTTTATTCTTGGCATTTGGATGCTGGTAAAACATTCAACTCACTTGTTGGATTCAATTTCTTACGGAGAACCGAATCTTACTGATTTAAATCTTGGCTTCTTGGGGCAAAAGTAAACTTATAGACTACACGACATCAAAGGTGAGTTGGTATTTATCAACGAGACAACTCATACATTCAGAGAATGAGCTTGATCATTCTGTCCAGACGTATCGTCCTGGACATCACTTCCAGTGAACCGTTACCATCTAATATGAATTGTTTCATTTTAGGCCTTCTTTTATCTGGATACCATTTCCTCATATTAGTATTTCTGTAAGACTAGACATCTTGCATGAATGCTTAGTACAGTAGTAGCAGTAGTTAGTAGTTACCCGCTGTTGAGCCGATCACAATTGTGGTACCGACAGAACACTGCAGACCTAAGTTCGGAATTCTAAGACCATTCTTGTTCTTCAAGCCACCTCCAGGGAGACGCACACAGATAAGCTTAGTTATTAAGATAAGGACAAATAACTTATCAGTGACTAGGTTTTTGATGCTTGATTTATTATCTCAACAAAGATTTATGTTCCTCAAACCTGCCCGAAAGGGAAAAACATTTTAGTGTAGGATATATGCTGTTATGCATATGTAGATGAATGCATTCCCTCAACCTACTGTAAGCTGGCGATATATCTATATCTAAGGTAAAGTATAACTTCAAAACAGCAACGTCTCAAGTATTGAAGAGACATCCTCCTTTCTTCTTTGGGGAGCCTGGGTTCATTACAGCCCTCTTAGAATTGAAACATTTGTGCTATAGGTGTAATATAATTTATATCTTATGAACATTTTGATATTGTTTACAATTAGGAAAGTAATATCTTCTCATATTTGACACTTTGTGGCCTCGGGAGCTCAAGGCTTCCTGCCAGTATTGTAGGGAGAGTCCTATAGTAACGGTTGATGAAAGGTTGATAAAATTTATGAACTGACAGGTAAACCAGGGGATTTGTTGACAAGTTTGCAACCAACTGAGAAAGGTGTAGATGTTAGGGAAAGGAATTATAAATATTTTAACTGGGTTTGAGTTTGATTCAATTTGTTACCGTTTAGAATTAATTTCCCGTTTTTGTTTTGTATGCTGTATAAGCTCCAGGGTTGATAAAGCGGGTGGCGCTCTACCCTTCATCTTACCCACGCCCTTCTTCACTGTTTAAAAGCTGGCGGCCTACCCTGGGAACTATGCTCTTTCTCTAATCCCTAGTAGCCAGCCTCACGCCAAGTTGTGGAACAACGAGAAATCGTTTACGAATTGACTTAAGTGGTCCACGATAAATAAAAGGCGTGACAAGCTGTGAATTTGGATACAAGTTCCCTCAAATATTTTCTACAGATAGGACGATTCGGAAAACGTTCATTGAAAATCCTTTCGGTCTAGTGAAAGTTACGCGACGCACTGTAAATGAAAATCGCTTCAATTTTTTCTTCCAATGGACGAGAATTGACCATTTTAGAATTTGTTGACGTGGTACCTTTCTACTAGTAAAACCGAAAACTGAATGAGAATATTCTAACTGAACAATGATGTTCATTGTCGTACTGACATTTTTTGGCGTTTTTATAAAAAAAAATAACTTAATAAACCTTATTGGGTTGTTGAAATTGCCATATGGCAGATAAAAAGTATAATTTCTAGAAATATCAATATTAATGTGTTTGTCTTCAGGAAATTATTAAATGTTCCGCCATTCATATTCTAGGGTCGTGAGGTATAAGTCAGGAGCTTCAAAATGATGAGTGTGATGATGTAAAAATCACATGTATTTCATTGAATTTTTCAATGTTATATATGCTTCAAACTAAAACGACCTTATGAATGCTGTAAGGCGTATTTAAAATTATTACTGTTACGGACAGAGAACAATTGAAAATTTATAGAAAAGTAAATGGGGCACGCACGGCCCTGTCCAATTAGGAGAGGTCTCGCAAGAATGGTCTACCGCTTGGTTAACAATGGAACACTTGGTTATTTCAGACTACCATACATCATTATATTTATCTGGAACAGTGTCATCAGACTTATTTGAAATTACTAGGACGAATAATAAATAATATTGGGCCCAGTACATAATTGTGAGGCATTCCTAATATGATCTGCTTCACCTGAAAGTTAATTTCGTTGGTTGCAACATTTTGATTTGTTGTGCTACCAAATCTAAATATCACATCAAAGTCTAACTTACCGTTGTTCATTGAAAAATTGCGATTCATACGGTTTTGCAACCAAAATTTTCATGGAGGGACGAGATTTCAGGTACTTTAAACTTGTGCTTGTTGGCGTCTTTAGGAAATGAAATAGACTGTACTCGTTTTGGATTTATTCAACGACAAAGGTTCCAGTTCAACTAGTTCGTGAATAGGGGAAGCATTATTTCACTGAAGACTCCAATAATCAACCCAACCATTTTAACAAATTGGTCTTGATAGAGTCCAGAGGGTTCCAAGAGAAAATCCAAGACGACATTCGTTTCAGTGTCATTATTATTATTATTTGACCATCAGGCTATGCACTTTATATCCAGAACCTCTATACCCATCTCGTGACTACAATAGACCAAGATTTTTAGGACACCATCTTAGCAGGCCATGACGAATGCCTCGATTTATCATTTAGACCCACTGTGGAAAGCGAAGATGAGATAAGGTTTTTGTTATTGAAGAATACCTGTGCTGCCCCTCAATCTATCTTTGGGTAGCCGCAATGATAAAGTGATCTCTGACGTCTGCACGTGGGCTTTATGCTGAACTGGTTTGAATTCGGTGAAAGAGTTGTAATTACCTTTTTCAGTGTCGATAACTGAACGAAGTTCATCAACCACTCGAGTTTGACAATAAATGCTCAAACTCCTGCTATCGCTTGATTGTAGAGCAAGCAGAGAAGGGAATACAAACTCCTGATAACTTCACAATCATTTGTTATCTAAAGTCCTAGCTAGATGCATTATTTTTGGGGTATAGTCGTCGAGTGGGTACAGCTCCTCCCGAGTCCACTTCATCAACCGCTCGGGCTTGCTCAAATTCCTGCTCTCGCTTGATTGTAGACCAACCAGGGAGGGAAATACGAACTCCTGATAACTTCAGAAGCTCCATTCAGTTATGTAGACATTCCAAACTCAAAAGTCCAGGACTTCTCTTATATTCGGGAATGGGGAATCATTACAATGGAACGGATGATTTAGGATGTAGATTCCTAGCTAGATGCCTTATTTTTGGAGTATTTACGTCGAGTGGATAAAGGTCCTCCCGAGTCCACTTCGGCCTTGAAAAGAAATGTTCAAACTTCGGCCTTGAAAAGAAATGTTCAAATTCTTGCTCTCGTTTGATTATAGACCAAGCAGGGAGGGGAATACAAACTCCTGATGATTTCAGAAGCTCCATTCAGTTATGTAGACATTCCAAACTCAAAAGTCCACGACTTATCTGATATCGGTGAATTATAACAATGGAATGGTCGATTTGGTATGTAAATTCATATCCAGATGCATTATTTTTGGGGTCTTTACGTCGAGCTGACACAGCTCCTTCCGAGATCACTTCCCTACCCCATATTTGTATAATATTTATACTATTTATTAAATGAAAGAGTACACCAACCTCTGGTAGAGAAATCCCCTCTTGTCCCTCCTGTCCGACCAAAAACTCCTTCTTGATGATGTTTGCCAGCTCGAGCCTCTGTTCGTCGTTCTCGACTTCATATCTTTTGGCGGCGTCGAGGAATTTGAGGCAGCGGTGGTAAGCCGGACCCTTGTGTTCGCACCACTGGTCGAAGAGGAGTTTTCCAATAGGTTGATGGTCCACCACATACTCGTAACGCACATCTGTTGAAGAAGACAAAAACCTTGAGAACAAATATCGAAATTGTACATGATAATAATGAAACAATTTTCACAAATATAAAAAATTAAATTGAATAGTCGACGTTATTGGTCACAACGGCCACGGTCAAAAATCCAGCACAATCACCTTACCTTGCGCCATTAGATGGAAAAAGAATGCATACTCCATAACGAATTTCTACTGAAAAAAGGTAGAAGAAGAAGGGGGGATTCCGCGAGGTTCTATTCATTGCTATATTTTTTTCTTATCTACATCAAAGACATTGTGTGACTCAACAAACTCATCGCTTTAATAATGTCTATTGCAGATGTATACGAAATGTCAAACATGAAAACCTACAGACGACGAACAAAAAAAATTGGAAAATAGCTTTGACAATAGTTACTTTGAGTTGTAAAAGTTTACATACAAAATTAGAAATCGAATCATTGACAAAACTATTTACCTCGCTATTTATCAAATACATTTGAAGTAGTGGATGTTGCTATAATATAGTATAAGCGACAATGTGGATCCACCTTTAGTTGTGCCCTAAGTTCAGATAATCCTTCATCTCGTTTATATGTCATGAGATTTGTTGTGTTCCCTGCCACTCTAATGGGAAACAAACTATTTTATAAAAATTTCGTGTTTTTATTACATATTATGTAATGAAACTCTTTTAGCTAAATAGTTTTATCTATGTCAGAACTGATCCATCTCAACTAAACTGTTTCCGAATTCGTTCACATATAAACCACTTCAAACCAGGTACAATATCCTAACTTTTCTCCCACGCCGGTGAAAATCCATGAAAAATATGTAGGTTATATAAAAATTCCGTATTTTTATTATATATTATGTAATGAAACTCTTTTAGCTAAATAATTTTATCTGTCAGGACCGATCCATCTCAACTAAGCTGTTTCTAAATTCTTCCATATCTAAACTACTCCAAACCAATTACAATATCCCAACTTTTTTCCCACGTACGTGAAAATCCATAAAAAATATGAAGGTCTCCCCCACGCATATTGAACTCATCCATTTGTTCGAAACAAACTTTTTCATCCCTTCGGCAAAATTGTTCGGTATTAGGGAGATAAAGTACGGCTCGAGATAACAGAAAAGTTAGAGAATATCCGCTTTCCGGGTGTTATTCTTTGGAAGTCCAATAAGAACCGATCAAATTTATATAAACATAAATCTCCTCGATGCGCCTTGACCACACCAGTCGGCTAATCGATTCTTTGGTTCACTGGTTCAAAGGGCCGAGTTTGAGCGAGTTCGGATGGTACAGTGGCATTCTTTCCGCTGATAAGTTTTATTGACAACCTTTCTCTTTTATTGCTGATCCCTCGATATTTCTGGAAGCGCCCTTGGAACTTTCATGTCGACGGTAATGGCACTGGCCCAGGGAAAAGCTTCAGGAGAATTGGATATCGACATTCAAGGGATGCTTCGACTTGATGAAATATGGCTGGTAGACTATTGCGTGAACAGTGCATTATCTTCATCCCCCTATTATGTTTCTAATTCCTACGACAGAAAATCGATGTAGTTGGGAATGGTTTTGAACAAGAGTCTTCTTACGTAGCACGGCGGAAAATCTCAGGACTATAATCTTTGCATCCGTTGAAACCCCAATTCATCCACGAATTGAATATCGATCGCTTTGACTTGAATCTACAGTGATCACCACGAAATATTCAGATTTACCAGCATCACCACGATCAGTTTCCATCAAAAAACAACCCCAAAATATTGAGCTCTTCCACCTTCTCATCTCTACCAGAGAGAAATCTCTTCCCTTTTTTCTTTTGTCAAATCTTCCTCCCTTCATTTCCTCTCATTACCTATCTTCACATTACTTGTGAACCAAAGATGGTATATCCGGTTACACGGAATTCAGAAATTAGTTTTGTACAACACTTTATAGATGTCACATGTCATAGATGTCATTTAAATGACAGTAACGAATATATCGTTACAATATGTAGCAAATAACGGATGAGGTTGAATATTGTATAACAACCGAATCCGTTATTTGCGTATCGACCGTGTGTCGTTCAAGACTTTTCGTAATCCGGCTGGAAGATTCCGAGGAAAGAACAAACCACGTTGTAGCTTCGAAAGTTTATAACAGCGTTGACTTTTCAAGGTTAGTTTTTTAAATCGTACGCCATATTAGAGTATTACCCACAGAAATGTTATTTTCAGATTTATAAAATTATTTTTGTTCTTGAGACGAAAGTCTGATGAATACACATCAAAGAAAGCAAAACTTTTGTCTGAAGAAGAAATAACTAAGTTTTTGTTGGAGGCAGATGATCATACATGGTTGCTCTGAACGGCCGCCGGCCGTTAAAAAACCTGAACGGACGGAGGCTGTTAATATTAACTTTTCAATTGTCATCTGAATACCGTTAAATCAAAATAACAGTATGTGATTACGAAAAACACTATAACGACGCATCAGACTTATGACGTCAACAATCTTCGAGGAAGGGTTTTGACGTGATGTAAAATCTATTGAACTGTGAATGACAATTTGGCATTACATAAATGTTTAGTTTGGAATGATGAATAAGGGGTTTGAGAAAGGCACTTGAGAGAACATAGCGAGACATGCAAAAAGCCGGTTATGAATAATACCGATTATGGTAGTACTATAGAAACAGCGATGAATTCGAGTATTTTCTGTTTTGTCTCTAATGTACTAGATGTATAGATTTTTGAGTTCAAAGGGATGAGTCAGTGTGAATTCAGACCTTTTTCGGCTACTCATCCATTTCTCATGAGCTCATTGCGTTTCCTTTCATCTTTTTATGACACCAATTTGAACAATATTATTTCATGCCTTAATCCGTATATGTTCTTTGTTTAAAGGGATGAGTTAGAGTGAGTTCAGATTTTTTTCTCATGAGCTCATTGCGTTTCCTTTCATCTTTTCATGACACCAATTTCAACAATATTATTCCATGCCTTAATCCGTATATGTTCTTTGTTTAAAAGGATGAGTTAGAGCGAGTTCAGATTTTTTTTTCATGAGCTCATTGCGTTTCCTTTCTTTTTTTATGACACCAATTTGAACAATATTATTCCATGCCTTAATCCGTATATGTTCTTTGTTTAAAGGGATGAGTTAGAGTGAGTTCAGTTTTTTTTTCTCATGAGCTCATTGCGTTTCCTTTCATATTTTTATGACACCAATTTGACCAATCTTATTCCATGCCTTAGTCCATATATGTTTTTTGTTAAAAGGGATAGAGTGAGTTCAGTTTTTTTTCCCATGAGCTCATTGCGTTTCCTTTCATCTTTTTATGACACCAATTTGAAAAATCTTATTCCATTCCTCAATCCGTATAGATCCTTTGTTGATTGGTTATCAGTTTCTTCTATGCATAACTTTTGTTATCCAGTGCTTCACATTCATACAAAACATGAAGAGTTAGCTGCGTTGCCTGCAGCTGAGATCTTCATTGTATACATCGCTATTTCATTGAGGAGTTCTTTGAATGGCCAGTCTCCGGTGAGAAGCCCTGTAATTATTTTCGGCCGATTCTGATTCAGTGATTCCGAAGAACGTTTTTGAATAATATAGGTGATATTATTCATACAGTTTTCAGTTCTGGGTGAGATGAGTATCGTTCAAACTATATAAACGTTGACGATATCGCGTTTTTATATAGTGTCGTTGATGTTTCCCAAAAGACGCCACCACATTTTTTAGTTTTCCTTGGAAAAAATATTTCTCTTTTCTCATCCAGAATACTCAATATTGAAGTCTCTTGTGTGTCGAGTAATTCCCCGAAGCCTCCAATCACAATCAGACGACACAGTCAACAAGGACCGTAGGCGGCAACTCCATTTTCCAACTTGTCAAAGGAATTCACGACAAACCCACCTGAAACCGCGGATTTAAAACTTCTCTCCGAACGTTCGGGATTTCACCGACAGCCGTACACTAATTACACAACTTTCTGTGGCTCTGCGTGAACTATTACACGGCGTTTTCTGCCCACGAAGTTGCACCGCGGGCAGCGAAACTCCCATCACTTACCGCTCCAGCACCGCATTGCAAAACCTTTAAAGCATTTTGGCCTACATCTGCTTTCCCGTCGAATTATCCTTTTATCTTTCGCTCTGGCATCTGTTCCAACGTAAAAACGTATGAATATGAGTGGTGGAGGCGAGAGTCTCCTTTAACACGGTATGGAGGGTAATTTTTGGTGCTAAAAGAAATGTAATCGGCTGGATTCCTTGCGAGGAAACGGGGAAAATGTGATACGAGGTAGACAAGGTGTTGGAATTTGGGATGGATATCAAAACAGTTGAAATAGCATTTAACGGAAAAGCACATGTTTTCCATTTCTAGAATGTTTTCGACCCCAAATAGACGAGTTCCAAAATGTTCTGAAAGTCTGTTAAAACAGATCACATTTTCATTGAACTTTTACACCTGGATGAACCATTCTGAGTGACGCATCTAAGCTTACGAATTTGCTACGAACTCTTGTTTCCATATTTGACTTGTCTGTTGATTTTCCCGTGCGGTACACGATTAGTTACCTGTTTAAAGCAAATCAAGCAATCTCATTGCATTCTTTGAATAATGTCTTCGCTATGCACTCGAAATAACCTTACTTTTCGTTGCCAAAACTTTTCATTTTCAAATAGAATTTGATTTTTCGTCATTCATGATAATAATTACACAATTTTCACAAACATTTCAATTTCCAGAAGCGTTTCCCTAACACTATAGCTTCCTCGGTAGCTTCCACCGAAACTTTCATTAAGTAACGTGTCAGTCCATTAATTTGTTTCTGTTGATAAAACTAACTATTTTTTTATTCAACTAGCACTTTACTGCGAAATTTTCACTGATTAGTTTACAAAACCACTACAAGTGTTTTTCGAAAAGGGCACATAATATCTACAACAGGTAAAAATAAGGCGGATATTTAGAGTAACCATATTGTAGAAACAATTTTTTCTTTCT